TTGGGCTAATGCAGGTTGAGTAGATGGTTTATGGGTGGGATTTTTCCAAAAATGGTTATTACTCCCACTCACGAATATTTTCGATTTGGTAAAGAATTTTTATAAACCTCTTTAAGCCCGTAAGTGGTGGGTTTTATATAGAATTTTATGTACTATGTTAAGGCCTAAAGGTGTAGACTTTTTCAAGACTGTTTTTTAACAACGTTTAAGCTCCCAAAGACTGGATTTTGAAGTCCCCTTAAAGGCCATAAGTAGTGGATTTTTAAAATAATTTTTATAGTTCCCTAAAAGGCCCTAAGGCGTCGATTTTTTAAATAATTTTTATAGTCCCCTAAAAGGCCCTAAGGCGTCGATTTTTTAAATATTTTTCATAGTCCCCTTAAAGGCCCTAAGTCGTGGATTTTTTAAATAATTTTTTATAGTTATATTTAAGGCTTTATGGCGTGGATTTTTAAAATAATTTTTATAGTCCTCTTTAAGGCCTTAAGACGCAGATTTTTTAAATAATTGTATAGTCCTCTTTTAGACTTTAAGTCGTGGATTTTTAAAATAATTTTTATAGTCCTCTATAAGGCCTTAAGGCGTCGATTTTTTTCAATAATTTTTATAGGCCTCTCTAACGCCTTAAGACGTACATTTTTCAAATAATTTTTATAGTCCCTTTAAAGGCTCTAAGGCGTCGATTTTTTAAATAATTTTTAAAGTCCTCTTTAAAGCCTTAAGGCTTGGATTTTTTTGAATAATTTTGGAAGCCCTACTTTTTTCCGATGACTGCACCTTTCATGCAACTTAAAATATACCGACACCTTGTGAGTGATATGTCACACGCTATTTACGTTATTTCAATTTAAAATTTTGCCATAAATTTCAATCAAATTTGATTTATCTCTTCTCCTCCTCCCATTCTCTTTAAACCCCTCTCGAGGTTGAGTGTGTTGATTCCTTCTGGGAAGCTATTCAAATGTTGCCAACACAACAAACAGCACGTGCAACGACATTTCCGCAGGAAAATATCACTTCTCGGGCTCTTCCTTTGAAAGACAAAAAAAAAACAAAAACAAAAAACCGGGTAGGCGTTTTTGTATACGTGCAAAGGAAGTCGAAGTTTAAGTTGAAGGTGAAAAAAATGAAGTGTTACTAACACCGGTCAGGAAATATTTACGGAATGCTACAAGGAAGTCACCCGCACACACATTTATTTTAATGGGAGTTATACAAATATGTATTGGGGTGGATCTGGAATTTTCACGAAGAAATTTAAAATCCTCTCAAAGCCTAAATTGTTTAAAGAATTTTTCTGAACCTCCTGAAGGCCTTAAGGCGTGGATTTTTAAAAGGATTTTTATGGACCTCCAAAAGGCTTTAATGCGTGGATTTTTATAGATCTCCAACATGCTTTAAGGCGTGGATTTTTCAAAGAATTTTTATAGACCTCTAGAACACCTTAAGGCGTGGATTTTTTAAAGATTTTTTATAGACCTCTAGAACACCCTAAGGCGTGGATTTTTTAAAGAATTTTTATAGACCTCTAGAACACCCTAAGGCGTGGATTTTTTAAAGAATTTTTACAGACCTCTAGAAAACCTTAAGGCGTGGATTTTTCAAAGAATTTTTATCGACCTCTAGAACACCTTAAGGCGTGGATTTTTTAAAGGATTTTTATAGACCATTAGAACCCCTTAAGGCGTGGATTTTTTAACGAATTTTTATAGACCTCCTCAAGGCCTTAAGGCGTGGATTTTTTAAAGAATTTTTATAGACCTCCAACAGGCCTTGAGGCGTGGATTTTTTAAAGAATTTTTATAGACGTCTAACCGTCCTTGAGGCGTGGATTTTTTAAAGAATTTTTATAGACGTCTAACCGTCCTTGAGGCGTGGATTTTTTAAAGAATTTTTATAGACGTCTAACCGTCCTTGAGGCGTGGATTTTTTAAAGAATTTTTATAGACCTCTTAAAGGCCTAAAGGCGTGGATTTTTTAAAAAAAATTGTATAGACCATTAGAAGGCCTCAAGGCGTGGGTTTTTTAAAGAATTTTTATAGACCATTAGAAGGCCTCAAGGCGTGGATTTTTTAAAGAATTTTTATAGCCCTCCAACAGGCCTTATGTCGTGGATTTTTAAAAGGATTTTTATAGACCTCCAACAGGCCTTGAGGCGTGTATTTTTTAAAGAATTTTTATAGACCTCCAACAGGCCTTGAGGCGTGGATTTTTTAAAGAATTTTTATAGACCTCCAACAGGCCTTGAGGCGTGGATTTTTTAAAGAATTTTTATAGACCTCCAACAGGCCTTGAGGCGTGGATTTTTTAAAGAATTTTTTTAGACCTCCAACAGGCCTTGAGGCGTGGATTTTTTAAAGAATTTTTATAGACCTCCAACAGGCCTTGAGGCGTGGATTTTTTAAAGAATTTTTATAGACCTCCAACAGGCCTTGAGGCGTGGATTTTTTAAAGAATTTTTATAGACCTCCAACAGGCCTTGAGGCGTGGATTTTTTAAAGAATTTTTATAGACCTCCAACAGGCCTTGAGGCGTGGATTTTTTAAAGAATTTTTATAGACCTCCAACAGGCCTTGAGGCGTGGATTTTTTAAAGAATTTTTATAGACCTCCAACAGGCCTTGAGGCGTGGATTTTTTAAAGAATTTTTATAGACCTCCAACAGGCCTTGAGGCGTGGATTTTTTAAAGAATTTTTTAGACCATTAGAACCCCTTAAGGCGTGGATTTTTTAAAGAATTTTTATAGACCTCTAGAACACCCTAAGGCGTGGATTTTTAAAAGGATTTTTATAAACCTCTTAAAGGCCTTAAGGCGTGGATTTTTTTAAAGAATTTTTATAGACCTCTGGAACACCTTAAGGCGTGGTTTTTAAAAGGATTTTTATACACCTCTAGAACACCCTAAGGCGTGGATTTTTAAACGGATTTTTATAGACCTCTGGAACACCTTAAGGCGTGGATTTTTTTAAAGAATATGTATAGACCTCTAGAACACCTTAAGGCGTGGATTTCTTAAATAATTTTTATTTTTTTAAAAAGATTTTTATAAAGATTTTTATAATTGACTCTAAATTATGCGCATTAATTTGATAGCGCACTTCAAACTTTTTGTCAATCGCTTGTGAGTGTCTGGTGTAATTCGATTTGTATTTTAACAAAAGATATATAAAAATAAACCACAACAACAATATCGGTAAACAACTGTATTGAGGACATACATATCATGACAGACAAGGCGTAAAGCGGGAGATAGAGGAGGAGCTCTTTGTCTCCCCTTCAGAAGAACAAAAACAGCCGCTAAGACAGCTACAATAAAAGACCAAACAAAACTTTGATTTATTTCATCAACAAACATTTGGCAAAAAACTTTTGACACTCTCCCTCCACCCCTCCCCCTTTCCCCTTCAAGATGAGCAGCACAAAAAAAAAACAACAACAAAAACTTTGTCATTTAGCCAAAAAAAAGTTTGCAGGCCTCTAAGTTAGTGTGAATTTCGTTGTGATTGTCTCTTTGTGTGTGTGTGTCTTTCTGTTTGTCTGTCTGTTTGTCTATCTGTCGGCCTGCCTGCCTGCCTGCCATGTCATTTATCCATCCATTCATCCTTCAATTTTTTTGTTCACAGATGTCCCATATATCACTTATTGCGAAAAAAGTCTTCGAAGCGAGCGAAAGACTGAGATAAGCAGTCATCACTATGAGTATGGGCCTCTTTGTGGCAGTATATGTGTGTGTTTGTGCGTGTTTTCCTCTACTTGACTACTCAAGTGTGTGGTGTGTGTGAAATGATAACATCTGTCGAATTGCCCAAAACAAAGAAATGGCTGAAGTTAAGACTCAGTGTAAACTTTATTTACACTTATGTGGCTCTCCCCCTACCCTCTCCCCTGACCATTTCGCGAGGAAGAGGAACGATAATTATAATGAAATTATGCATACGACAGCAACAACACCACGACCACTATAGCCGACAACGACACCCATCAACACCTATCTACACGACGACGACGGCGACGACCACAAGACAACACTTAAAGTAGTTGTTTGAAACAACTACTCCTACTTAGGGGAGAGAGAGGTGTCGTCTCTCTCTCTCTCGCCCTCTTAAGTGTGGTTTAGAAGTGTGTCTTGTTGATGATATAGAGCAGGCTCGGGCAGAGAATAACAAATTTGCGTTGTCGATGTGTGCGTGTGTGTGTGTATCAATGGGTTTTCACAGTTGTTTCAATTGAATGTGCATGAGAGTATGCTGTTATTTACTTTCGTGAGAGAGCACGCGTGCCGGGTTTTGCCTGATGTGGATATAGAGCGCAGTAGTTAGCTAAGACATAATCTAGTGATTATTCCCCTACATGCAGCCACTAATACAGGGAGTTTAGACACAAAACACACACACATACACCTACATACACACATTATAGAAATAATCATAATAAGAATGATGTGTCATTTTTTATTGTTTTTTTTTTTTTGTAGTTTTTTTTTTTTTTTTTTTTGACACTCTATTTATAATGAGACCCAGCTGTCCCTCTCCTTTGCCAGAGTTCCTTACCATCTCCCTCACAAGTTTTATTGTTTTGCTAAATCATGTTCATTTCTCAAGGTGTGTGTCGTCACACACAACATCACAGATGAAGGGAATGGATTCCAAATATCTTCTTCCTTTAGCTATTAATAAAAATTAAATTGTTTCCAAAAGAGAAAGGGGGCGGGGAGTCTACAGATGACGATGAAAATGATATCTTCTCCATTGTAATGGAGAAGTAGGGAGTAAAAGAAAAAAATCATTATTAATGACAAATGAAATGAGGTGACATAAATAACAAATCGTGAGAAGAAAATTATCTGTTTTTTTCTAGGTGAGGATGGGGGAGAAATAATTCACTTTCATTTCTAAAGGACCAAGAGGATATAACACCACTATAAGTTCTAAAAAAAAAAAAATTATTAAAAATTGTCTTTAATTTTTCTTTGAAATTTATTTTTTATTTTTCATTGCAGAAAAAACAAAAATGTTGGACATAACGCGAGATCGACCGGTAAAGGTGGCCGTTAAAGTGGCAGTGCCCGTTAGGGATCATCCAAAGGTAAGTAATTTTTCTACACCTCTTCAAAGTCCTAAGGCATAGATTTTTTTAAAGAATTTTTATAGACCTCCTAAAGGCCATAAGGCGTGGATTTTTTAAAAAAATTTTCTAGACCATTAGAAGCCAATAAGTCGTGGATTTTTTAAAGAAATTTTATAGACCTCAGAAAGTCCTTAAGGCTTAGGTTTGTTAAAGAATTTTTAGAGACCATTAGAAGGCCTTAAGGCGTGGATTTTTTAAAGAATTTTTTTAGACCACTTCAAACCCTTAAGGCGTGGATTTTTTAAAAAAAAAAAATTCTAGACCTCTAAAAGGCCAAAAGGCGTGAATTTTTTAAAGAATTTTTGTAGACCTCTAAAAGACCAAAAGGCGTGAATTTTTTAAAGAATTTTTGTAGACCTCTAAAAGACCAAAAGGCGTGGATTTTTTAAAGAATATTTCGAGACCTTTTAAAGGCCAAAAGGCGTGGATTTTTTAAAGAATTTTTATAGACCTCAGAAAGTCCTTAAGGCTTAGGTTTGTTAAAGAATTTTTAGAGACCATTAGAAGGCCTTAAGGCGTGAATTTTTTAAAGAAATTTTATAGACCTCCAACAGGACTTAAGGCGTGGATTTTTTAAAGAATTTTTTTAGACCACTTCAAACCCTTAAGGCGTGGATTTTTTAAAGAATTTTTTTAGACCACTTCAAACCCTTAAGGCGTGGATTTTAAAAAAAAAAAAAATTCTAGACCTCTAAAAGGCCTTGAGGCGTGGATTTTTTAAAGAAATTTTATAGATTCTTAGAAGGCCTTGAGGCGTGGATTTTTTAAAGAATTTTTATAGACTCTTAGAAGAATTTTTATAGACCATTAGAAGGCCTTAAGGCGTGGATTTTTTAAAGAATTTGTCTACACCTCTAAAAGGCCTTGAGGCGTGGATTTTTTAAAGAATTTTTCTAAGCCATTCAAAGGCCTTAAGGCGTGGATTTTTTAAAGAATTTTTATAGATTCTTAGAAGGCCTAAAGGCGTGGATTTTTTAAAGAAATTTTCTAAGCCATTCAAAGGCCTTAAGGCGTGGATTTTTTAAAGAATTTTTCTAAGCCATTCAAAGGCCTTAAGGCGTGGATTTTTTTAAAGAATTTTTCTAAGCCATTCAAAGGCCTTAAGGCGTGGATTTTTTAAAGAATTTTTCTAAGCCATTCAAAGGCGTTAAGGCGTGGATTTTTTTAAAGAATTTTTCTAAGCCATTCAAAGGCCTTAAGGCGGGGATTTTTTAAAGAAATTTTCTAAGCCATTCAAAGGCCTTAAGGCGGGGATTTTTTAAAGAAATTTTCTAAGCCATTCAAAGGCCTTAAGGCGTGGATTTTTTAAAGAAATTTTCTAAGCCATTCAAAGGCCTTAAGGCGTGGATTTTTTAAAGAATTTTTCTAAGCCATTCAAAGGCCTTAAGGCGTGGATTTTTTAAAGAATTTTTCTAAGCCATTCAAAGGCCTTAAGGCGTGGATTTTTTAAAGAATTTTTCTAAGCCATTCAAAGGCCTTAAGGCGGGGATTTTTTAAAGAAATTTTCTAAGCCATTCAAAGGCCTTAGGGCGGGGATTTTTTAAAGAATTTTTATAGATTCATAGAAGGCCTTGAGGCGTGGATTTTAAAAAAAAAATACTTACATACGTAGGTTTTTTTAAGAATTTAAGGCCTTAAATTTTTATTTTATTTCTTTCTAATTTCCTAGCCCCCATAAAATTCGATTGAAAGTCCTTGCATGCCCTTGTGTCCTTATCTATTACACATTTTGTTTTCGATTTTTTTTTGTATCATATTTATTTCACATTAGCACAACATCTTCTTCTTCTTCTTCGTCTTATCTCCATCAATTTATTTTCCGTCTCTCCTACTCTCTTTGACAGTTCAATTTCGTTGGCAAATTGCTCGGGCCCAAAGGAAACTCCATGAAACGTTTACAGGAAGAGACCATGTGTAAAATGGCGGTGCTCGGTCGCGGTTCGATGCGCGATCGTAAAAAGGAGGAAGAGCTGCGCGGCAGCGGTGACAGTCGTTATGCACACCTCTTCGAAGATTTACATGTGGAGATTTCAACATTTGCTGCACCGGCGGAAGCCCATGCTCGCATAGCGTATGCCTTGGCGGAAGTACGAAGATTTCTGGTGCCGGTAAGTTCAAGAAAATAACAACAACATAAAATAATAGCAACAACAACAATATCGTCATCATTTGTGTTGTGATAAAAAAGTTTTGCGGTTACAGGTTTTTTTGTGTAAATATAACAATTTATGTAATAGGAAACCTTGTGCTCTGCGAACCATGGGAGGTTGGGAGGCGGGTGGCAAGACCCGCCTGCCCGCCCTCCTCCTGGCAAATCACTTAAAAAAGTAAAAAAACAAATAATTTGCGTAATTACTTTGTTTGTTGGTGTTGCAGGAAAAACGATAGAGATGGTTATTTATGCACAGCCAGGTAGGGTTTCTGTTGCCGGGGTGGGTCGATGTGTAGTCAGGATGCATGTTTGTGTGTAGTTTGCTGAAAGTTTCTGACATCTGTGGTCGCACACAACAACCATTGCAACTAATTGCAGTTGTCTACATTTTATTTTGATGTTGTCGATGTTGTTGTTGTGGGGCTCACACATGAGTGCCTGGCTTAGTGGAGGAGGATTCTCGAAAGTAACATTTAATAGCAAAAAATTGCAGCAGGGCCTTAACGATATTTTAAGGACTTTTTATAGACCATTCGAAGGCCCTAAGTTGTGGATTTTTTAAAGAATTTTTATAGACCTCCTCAAGGCCTTAAGAAGAGGAATTTTTAAGGATCTTTTATAGACCTCTTAAGGGCCTTAAGGCGTGGATTTTTTAAAGAATTTTTAAAGACCTCCTCAAGGCATTAAGGCGTGGATTTTTTAAAGAATTTTTAAAGACCTCTTCAAGGCCTTAAGGCGTGGATTTTTTAAACAATTTTTATAGACCTTCAACAGGCCTTTAGGCGTGGATTTTTTAAAAAATTTTTCTGGACCACTAGAAGGCCTTAAGGTGTGGATTTTTTAAAGAATTTTTCTGGGCCTCTAGAAGGCCTTAAGGCGTGGTTTTTTTAAAGAATTTTTCTGGACCACTAGAAGGCCTTAAGGTGTGGATTTTTTAAAGAATTTTTCTGGACCACTAGAAGGCCTTAAGGCGTGGATTTTTTAAAGAATTTTTATAGACCTCCTCAAGGCCTTAAGGCGTGGATTTTTTAAAGAATTTTTATAGACCTCCTACAGGCCTTGAGGCGTGGATTTTTAAAGAATTTTTATAGACCTCCAACAGGCCTTGAGGCGTGGATTTTTTTAAGAATTTTTATAGATTCTTAGAAGGTCTTAAGGCGTGGATTTTTTTAAGAATTTTTATGGACCTCTTAAGGGACTTAAGGCGTGGATTTTTTAAAGAATTTTTATGGACCTATTAAGGGACTTAAGGTGTGTATTTTTTAAAAAGAATTTTTATGGACCTCTTAAGGGACTGGATTTTTTAAAGAATTTTTATAGATTCTTAGAAGGCCATAAGGCGTGGATTTTTTAAATAATTTTTATTGACCTCCAGCAGGCCTTGAGGCGTGGATTTTTTAAAGAATTTTTATAGACCTCCAACAGGCCTTGAGGCGTGGATTTTTTAAAGAATTTTTCTGGATCACTAGAAGGCCTTAAGGCGTGGATTTTTTAAAGAATTTTTCTGGATCACTAGAAGGCCTTAAGGCGTGGATTTTTTAAAGAATTTTTCTGGATCACTAGAAGGCCTTAAGGCGTGGATTTTTTAAAGAATTTTTCTGGATCACTAGAAGGCCTTAAGGCGTGGATTTTTTAAAGAATTTTTATAGACCTGTTCAAGGCCTTAAGGCGTAGATTTTTTAAAGAATTTTTCTGGATCACTAGAAGGCCTTAAGGCGTGGATTTTTTAAAGAATTTTTATAGACCTGTTCAAGGCCTTAAGGCGTAGATTTTTTAAAGAATTTTTCTGGATCACTAGAAGGCCTTAAGGCGTGGATTTTTTAAAGATTTTTTCTGGATTCTTTAAAAAAAAATTTATTTTTTAAAGAATTTTTCTGGACCACTAGAAGGCCTTAAGGCGTGGATGTTTTAAAGAATTTTTATAGACCATTAGAAGACCTAGAAGACCTTATATAGCCCTCCAACAGGCCTTAAGGCGTGGATTTTTTGAAGAATTTTTATAGCCCTCCAACAGGCCTTGAGGCTCGGATTTTTTACACAATGCCTTATATCCTTTCCAAAGAATTTCCCTCTCTCAGTGTCTCTGCCTGTGTTCACGTCCTTAGCTGTTTGTATTTACTAGCCAGTAGCCACTGATTATGTGTGTATGTGTGTGCGGTTCGCTTGTTCGGAAAACCCATGGCTTCATTCATATATCCAACAAAATAAATGTACATGTTCAAGTGTCCATTTGATAAAGTAGACAAATACCCACACATCCACTCAATCACACACACACACACACATAAATACATACACATATTTATACCTATTTAAGCACAAATATATTTATTTGTTTTGTGGGTTTGTGTGTGTGTGTGCGAGTTCGGAGAATGGTTTATGTGAAGTATTGCAACTTTGGCCATTAAATATGGTTCTACACAACACTTGTGACAGTTGGCAATGGCTTGGCATGTTGTTGTTGTTTTTTTAGTCCTCGTCATTGCCATACTGTTGCTGCTGCTGCTACAATTCCATCTGTCATCTGTAACTGTTATTATAGGTTAAAGAGAAGGAATTTATATGTGTATATAAGGGTGTCTCAGGGACGATGGCTATATTTTTTTTTTATTAAAAAACAATATTTTGGATTTCACTACGTTCTTCAATTTTTGAATTGATATTGTTCTTTCATTTTTTTGTTCGAGACACTCTAATACCCATTCCATATCAACAACACATAGTTTGCATGTGGTTATTCTCTAGTTTGTTCAATTTGTCAACCAATGAAATTTTAATAATGTTGAACAATAACAACATCAGCAGCAGCAACAACAACAACAAACACCACCACATATCAACCTGTTAATTGTTAAACTCTGACAATAACAAGTGTAGTAGTAGTAGTGCAGCTAACAAGGGCAATAAATTGTCACTCATATGTCAAAACAATAACAATGTTATAATAAAGAGAGAGAGAGAGGAGTAGAGATTATTGTTGTTCGGTTTATTATTGTGGAAAGGATCTCTGAAAAATTTCTTTAAAAATCCACGCCTTAGGGCCTTAAAGGATATCTGAAAAAAAATCCTTAAAAAACCCACGCCTTAGGGCCTTAAAGGATATCTGAAAAAAAAATCCTTAAAAAACCCACGCCTTAGGGCCTTAAAGGATATCTGAAAAAAAAATCCTTAAAAAACCCACGCCTTAGGGCCTTAAAGGATCTCTGAAAAATTCCTTTAAAAAATCCACGCCTTAGAGCCTTAAAGAATCTCTGAAAGATTCCTTTAAAAAATCCACGCCTTAGAGCCTTAAAGGATCACTGAAAAAATCCTTTAAAAAATCCACGCCGTAGAGCCTTAAAGGATCTCTGAAAAATTCCTTTAAAAAATCCACGCCTTAGAGCCTTAAAGGATCTCTGAAAAATTCCTTAAAAAATCCACGCCTTAGAGCCTTAAAGGACCTCTGAAAAATTCCTTAAAAAAATCCACACCTTAGAGCCTTAAAGGATCTCTGAAAAATTCCTTAAAAAATCCACGCCTTAAGGCCTTTAGGAGGGCTATAAAAATTCTTTAAAAAATCCACGCCTTAAGGCTTTAGAGGGGCTATAAAAATTCTTTAAAAAAATCCACGCCTTAAGACCTGTTGGAGGTCTATAAAGATTATTTAAAAAATCCACGCCTTAAGGCCTTAAAGAGGGCTATAAAAATTCCTTAAAAAATCCACGCCTTAAGGCCTTAAAGAGGGCTATAAAAATTCTGTAAAAAATCCACGCCCTAAGGCCTTTAGGAGGGCTATAAAAATTCTTTAAAAAATCCACGCCTTAAGGTGTTCTAGGGGTCTATAAAAATTCTTTAAAAAATCCACGCCTTAAGGCCTGTTGGAGGTCTATAAAAATTCTTTAAAAAATCCACGCCTTAAGGCCTGTTGGAGGTCTATAAAAATTCTTTAAAAAATCCACGCCTTAAGGCCTTAAGGAGGGCTATAAAAATTCTTTAAAAAATCCACGCCTTAAGGCCTTAGAATGGCTATGAAAATTTCTGTAAAAATCCACGCCTTCAGGCCGTTTAGAGGTCTAGAAAAATTCTTTAAAAAATCCACGCCTTAAGGTGTTCTAGAGGTCATTAAAAATTCTTTAAAAAATCCACGCCTATTGGGCTGTTGGTGCCTCATAAATATTCTTTACAAAATCCACGCCTTAGGGTGTTTAGAGGTCTATAAAAATTCTTTAAAAAATCCACGCCTTAAGGTGTTCTAGAGGTCTATAAAAATTCTTTAAAAAATCCACGCCTTAAGGCCTGTTGGAGGTCTATAAAAATTCTTTAAAAAATCCACGCCTTAAGGCCTGTTGGAGGTCTATAAAAATTCTTTAAAAAATCCACGCCTTAAGGCCTGTTGGAGGTCTATAAAAATTCTTTAAAAAATCCACGCTATAAAAAATTCTTTAAAAAATCCTCGCCTTATGGCCTGTTGGAGGGCTATAAAAATTCTTTAAAAAATCCACGCCTTGAGGCATTGATGAGCCATAGAAAAATTCTTTAAAAAATCCACGCCTTAAGGCTTGTTGGAGGTCTATAAAAATTCTTTAAAAAATCCACGCCTTAAGGCCTTTAGGAGGGCTATAAAAATTCTTTAAAAAATCCACGCCTTAAGGCCTTTAGGAGGGCTATAAAAATTCTTTAAAAAATCCACGCCTTAAGGCCTTAAGGAGGGCTATAAAAATTCTTTAAAAAATCCACACCTTAAGGCCTTAAAGAGGGCTATAAAAATTCTTTAAAAAATCCACGCCTTAAGATGTTCTAGGGGTCTATAAAAATTCTTTAAAAAATCCACGCCTTAAGGCCTTTAGGAGGGCTATAAAAATTCTTTAAAAAATCCACGCCTTAAGGCCTTTAGGAGGGCTATAAAAATTCTTTAAAAAATCCAGGCCTTTAGATCTTCTAAAGGTTGTTTAAATTAAAAATTTGTTGCATACTTTCAGGCGCCTTTTTTGTCCTATTTCATTTTGCAATTTTTCCGTTAAATTTTTTCAAATATATTTTAATTTCGTGTTTTGGCGTCCACCCCTCTTGCATCCCTGTTCTCGCTTCTCTTAAAGACTATTTTGCATTCTGAGGCTTAAGGTGTCCGTTTTGCACGACTTTGCTTGTTGACTTTCTGTTGAGTGCAGAACCTGAAGTGGCATTTTGAGGAAAATATTATAATTTCATGATATTTTTGTTCGGATGACCTCTGCTCTGCTCAGAGCTTTGAGAAAGTAAGTACCAAGTGAGCACTTGACAAGTTCCATGGCAGAGTATGGTGTGCAACGGCAGGGAGGTTCCACCTTCAGCTCAAGTGCAGCAACATGGTGGAAGGGTGGAGAAATGCAACACTTTGAAATTTACCTGTTGGTTTTTTTAATTTTTGAGTCAAGAAATTCTAATTCTATTTTGTTGGGTTATTTTCTTTCCAGGATTATCACGATGACATACGACAGGAACAAATGTGGGAAATGCAGGCCCTGACCACCTCGACAAATCCCAATGGCAATGGGAGTATAAATAACATAAACAGCGGCAATTCCAGTGATCAGGAATTGGCCTTAAGTCCCAATCATCTAATTGAGGGTGGCATCACCGACATGGATACATCGAATGATGAAAAATCGGAAGAATCAACGGGTATGGATTGTCTGGCCACGGAGAAGCTGGAAAGATTAAGGGCACCCAGCAGTAATGGTATGGCGGGTATGGTGACAACAAATATTGCAGCGGATCCATTGAAGTTGGCAACAAATGCGGCACCAAGTAAGTTCTGACTTCCGAATGGGATTTTGATTTTTAAAAATTTCTAAATTTTATATTTTTGTCTGAATTTCTTCCTTTGCAGTCCATCATCCCTGTGCCATGACCGTAACACTGCAGCAACAATTATCGGCCGTGGCCGCAGCCGCCGCTGGCATGGGTGGCATTTTAAAACCCAATCCCGCAGCAATGACCGGTTTGGCCCCCACCCAGCCCACAACAGGTCTGACATTACCTCCCACAGACACAGATCCTACAGCCGCCTCGGCATTGACTTTTTTAGAGACATCGGGAACACTGTTACATCCTGCCCTGAGAAATGTAAAGGCAATTAATATAGGTGAGTCCCAGAAAAGCAGGGTTTCCCTTAATAGGTCCCTGGAAATTCGGGATTTCAACAGAATAGAACAGATATCACATTTTTTTATTATTTCAATTTATATTTGGGATATTTTTGGAAAATTTTCAATTTTCGGTAAATATCTGGCGAAGTTTCGGGGATTTTGTGGGAATGTTGGGGATTTTAAAAATATTGAAATTAATGAAATCATCAGGCTCGTTTTGATATGCCTTTTGAGCTGGGACATTATCATTCATCCGCACAACATGGCCTAGCCACCGTGGTCGCTGCAGCTCAATACGACTGACTATGTCGATGTCCGCGTATAAATTGTAAAGCTCATGGTTCATTCGACGCCGATATTCACCGTCGACGCAGATCGGCCCGTAGATCTTTCGGAGAATTTTTCTCTCAAACACCCCAAGAGCTGCCTCATCTGCTTGCGCATGTACCCATGCTTCTGATCCATATAATAGCACGGGTAGTATCAGCGTCTTGTAAAGTGTGAGTTTGGTCTGGCGGGAGGGTGGCCTTGTTTCTAAACTGCTTACTTAGACCATAGTAGCATCTGTTGGCCATCACAATCCTTCTCCGAATTTCAAAACTGATGTCATTCGTTTTGTTTATGACGGCGGTACCAAGGTATATAAAGTCTTTAACTACCTCGAAGCTGTAGTTCTCAAGTTCCACAGTTGGTCCGAGTCTAGTGGACGTCTTGCGCGTTGATACCATACCAGCTTGGTCTTCTCGCCGTTTACTGTCAGACCCACTTTTGCAGACTTCTTCTCGATTTCAGTTCAAAGGTGGCTGTTACCGCTCGCAATGTTCGACCCATTATGTCGATGTTATCGGCGTAGGCGAGTAACATAGCAAGTATGGTACAGAGTGCCATTTCTGTTCACCTTTGCGTCTCGTATGACCTTTTCCAGCAGGATGTTTAAAAAGATCACACGACAAACTGTCACCTTGTCTGAATCCTCGTTCGGTATTGAAGGGCTCCGATAAGGCTCCTTCCCGACTTTAATTGCTGATCTTGTGCCACTTAAAGTTATCCTGCATAGCCGAACGTAGACATGGCTTTGAACACCTCTGAACGGATAGGGCTGTCAAAAGCGGCCTTATAGTCGACGAATAGGAGGGATGTGTCGATGTGCTTTTCGTGGGATTTTCCAGAGTGAAAATCTGGTCAATGGTGGATTTGCCAGGTCTAAAGCCGCATTGGTATGGTCCAATGATGTCATTGACCATTGGCTTCAATCGTTCACACAGCACACTGGATAGCACTTTATATGCGATAGGAAGGAGACTTATTTCTCTATAGTTGGCACATATCATCTTGTCTCCTTTTTTTGTGCACGGGACACAGGATGCTGAGGTTCCAATCATCGGGCATGCATTCATCTAGCCAAATTGTACTAATCAGCTGGTGCATACACTCCTGACCAGCATCTGGCCACCAGTCTTGAATAGTTCGGCTGGTAACCCATCGGCTACTGCTGCTTTGTTGTTCTTGAGCCGATTAATTGCTTATATGACCTCATCTTGGTTAGGTGCTATACACTCTATACCATCATGTCTTATTGGTTCTGGGGTATCTTCTTCAATGCCACTATTTGATACCAGAAGCTCCTTCAAAATGCTCCTTCCAGATACTCAACCCTCCTTCCAGATCCTCAACACTGTCTGTATCCTGTATCTCCTTCCAGATCCTCAACGCGCTGTCTGTATCTGTCACCAGGTTTCCTTCTTCATTTCTACAGGAGGATGTGCCTGCACCAAAGCCTTCGGTTTGGTGTTTTACCCGTTGGTATAATTTTCGGACTTCATTCTGACTTCTGTACCTCTCGATTTGCTCGCGCTCACGTTTTTCTTGTTCTTTCTACTTTTTTTCTGAAAACACGTTTCTCCTCTCTCCTTTTCTCCCGATAATTCTCCATCACGTTACGTGTTGCTACTGTCCGCAGGGTTGCCCTATACGCTGCGTTTTTCACATCAGTAGCATTACGACACTCCTGATCGTACCATGGAATTCTTGATGGTAGTCTTTGGTACCCAAGCGTTGCTTTTGCTGCAGTTTGTAGGTAGTGAGCAATTCTTTGCCATTGTGTTTCTATAATATTATCGGGACAAGAGGTGATTTCGTCAAGCAGTTGGGTAAGTTGAGCGGAGTAGGCCTCGGCTACCGGTTGCGTATGCAGCTTTTCGACGTCGAGTTTCCGTGTTGTTTTACATCGCACCTTTGCTGCTACATTAAGACGGGTTCATACCTTGGCTGCCACAAGGTAATGGTCCGAATCGATATTTGCTCCTCGGATCGATCGGACGTCTAAAACACTGAATGAATGCCTTCCGTCTATCACAACATGATCAATTTGATTTCTCGTTTTTGGATCAGGAGAGATCCAGGTGGCCTTATGTATATCGAGATGCTCTGGAATCCGGTGCTGCTAACTACCAATCAATCAATCAACCTCAACAGCCGTTGTCGGATGGTTCTTCATGAAGGCTAAATTTTCCGACGGTGGGGCCAAAGATATTTTCCCGTCCGATTTTTGCATTAAAATCTCCTAGTAGAATTTTAATGTCATGACCAGGGCAACGGTCATATGCTGTTTCTAGCCGCTCGTAGAATATGTCTTTGGTCTGTTCATCCATATCTTCGGTCGGAGCATGGGCGCAAATGAGACGGATGTAGAAGAACTTCGCTTTTATACGGATTATGGCATTTCGTTCATCTACTGGAGTGAATCTGGAGAAGAGGTCTTTCATTCTCCTATTAACCATAAATCCGCAGTCAAATTCATGTCTCGTCTCATGGCAGCTATAATATAGGGCGTAATCGTCTGATTTACTTACGCCTGTCCCTTTCCATCGCATTTCCTATAAGGCAATAATATCGGCTTTGTACTTCTTGAGTACATCTCCGCCAAACCGCGAACACTGCGCCTGTTCTGTACAATGTGCGCACATTCAAGTGCAGATTCGCAGATCGTGGTCCTTTATACGTTTGTGAGGGTCGTCAACATTAGGGGAGGGGTTTGGTTTTATTTTTCTTTGCTTTTTCATAGTAGGTTCGGTTTTCCGAGAGTGGGCAACTAACCCGACGCCTCAACCCATTTTTTTATAGTTCTTATGGGTGAACTCGCGACATATATTAGCTCACTATTTCAACGGGAGATGAAAATAGCTATCCCAGGTGGCACCGCGGGGAGGCCAGTGTCCACAATTGCGATGAAAAAGGGACCAAGATAAGCCTGGACTTCGCCATGTTAAAGCCAATCAGAGCCGTTGCTTGATACCTATCATCCCCTACGCTATCATCAGATTTAGATATAGCTCCCATATATATTTTCGTCCGATTTAAGACAAATGGTGCACCAAAGTCCCTATATATCCTTCGATTTTCACAAAAATTGGCACAGCGTTCTGAATTGAGCCTAGAATGATGTGTGCCAAGTTTTGTGAAAATCGGTTCAGATTTAGATATAGCTCCCATATATGTTTTTGTCCGATTTAAGACAAATGGTGCCCCAAAGTCCTTATATAACTTTCGATTTGCACGAAATTTGGCACAGCGTTCTGAATTGAGCCTAGAGTGATGTGTGTTAAGTTTCGTGAATATCGATTCTCATTTGGATATAGCTCCCAAATGTATCTTCGACCGATTTAATCTAAATGGTGCACCTAAGACTCTATATGTTCCTCGATTTGCACGAAATTTAGCATAGCGTACTGAATTGAGACTAGAATGATGTGTGCTAAGTTTCGTGAAAATCGGTTCAGATTTAGATATAGCTCCCATATATATTTTCGTCCGATTTAATGTAAATGGTGCACCGAAGACTCGATTTGCACGAAATTTGGCATAGAGTAATGAATTGAGCCTAGAATGATGTGTGTTAAATATCGTACAAATCGGCTCAGATTTAGATATAGCTCCCATATATATATTCGTCCGATTTAAGGTAAATGGTGCACTAAAGTCCCCAAATATCTTTCGATTTGCACGAAATTTGGCACAGCGTTCTGAATTGAGCCTAGAGTGATGTATGTTAAGTTTCGTGATAATCGGTTCAGATTTAGATATAGCTCCCATATATATTTTCGTCCGATTTAAGGTAAATGGTGCACTAAAGTCCCCAAATATCTTTCGATTTGCACGAAATTTGGCATAGTGTTCTGAATAAAGTCTAGAACGATGTGTGTTAAATTTCATGAAAATCGATTCTCATTTAGATATAGCTCCCATATATATTTTCGTCCGATTTAATGTAAATTGTGCACCGAATACTCTATATGTTCTTCGATTTGCACGAAATTTGGCATAGCGTACTGAATTGAGACTAGAATGATGTGTGCGAAGTTTCGTGAAAATCGATTCAGATTTAGATATAGGTCCCATATATATTTTCGTCCGATTTATGGTAAATGGTGCACTAAAGTCCCCAAATATCTTTCGATTTGCACGAAATTTGGTACAGCTTACTGAAATAAGCCTAGAATAATGTGTGCTAAGTTTCGTGAAAATCGGTTCCGATTTAGATATAGCTCCCAAATATATTTTCGCCCGATTTTATGTAAATGGTGCACCAAAGTCCCTTAGTATCTTTCGATTTGCACGAAATTTGGCACAGCGTTCTGAATTGAGCCTAGAATGATGTGTGCTAAATTTCGTGAAAATCGGTTCAGATTTAGATATAGCTACCATATCTTGATTTGCACAAAATTTGGTACAGCTTACTGAAATAAGCCTAGAATAATGTGTGCTCAGTTTCATGACAATCGATTCAGATTTAGATATAGCTCCCATATATATTTTCGTCCGATTTAATGTAAATGGTGCACCGAAGACCCTATATATCTTTCGATTTTCACAAAATTTGGCATAGCGTACTGAATTTAGTCTAGAATAAGGTGTGTTAAGTTTCCAGAATATCGGTTCAGATTTAGATATAGGTCCCACATATGTATTTTCGTCCGATTTTTGGTAAATGGTATTTTTTTTTTTTTTTTTTTTTGTAAAAATCCAATTATTTTTTAATTTTGTTTCTTTTTCCCCTCTCTCTTAGCTGGCAATCTGACTCGCAAACGCCCTCTGCTGGGCGTGCCACGTTCCAGTATGAATCCGACCAAACGCACGGTTATGACACTATTAGCTAGAACCAAAAATGCCCAAGCGCTGCATGCGGTACGTAATCCGGTAACAACAACACCCACACCAACTACACATTTTCCCGAGTAAGTTCCCCTATTTCGTAAAATTTCAAAATCACAACAGTTTCAAAAAATTTCGCAAAAAAGTTACAGCTTAAAGTTTTAGTTATTCCAATTTTAGTCCATTGCAAATGTTGACATCGCCGTTTATAATACCGCATCATCATCATCAGGCCATGGACCATCATCATCATCATCAGACAATGTTGCCATTGTCTAAGGAGAGTCTGAGTCAAGGTGTTTAAAAAATGTGGAGTGAAAACAAAGTGGCAACTAAGATCCTAAAACAAAACGAAAAAACAAAATGAAACAAGGAAGAAAAAAGAAAAAACAGAAATGAAAACCCCCCGCCTCCTTATAACTACAAAGTAGATATAAAACATACATTTATACATACATACAAATATATTCATCAAGAAACAATTATTTATATACATACATAAATATGTTATGTGTTAAAAAAAAAAGTTCAAACGAAATTCGCAAAAAAAAACAAACACATTCTCTTTGAGCCGGAAACAAGCAATGTCTTCATATAAGCAAACAACAACAACAAAAAAAACACAAAAAAACAACAACAACCCATATTTATTAAACTTAATTTTATACATTCCTTTATAATATTTTAAGTTAACATGGACAAACAACAACAACAAGTGAAAATAAACAAAGAATATAAATAAAAAAACCAAAAACAACAAAAAATATTTACATATTTACAACAACAAAATAATTAAAGAAAACAAAAACAACAAATATAACGAAAATGAAAATTTAAAGAAATTGATTTACTTTATGAATGGCTATTTAAACACAGTTAGAGATATGCTGAACGAGTGACAGCTGACAGCTGTCAAAACACGAGTATGAATTAAAACAAAAACCGTAAAATACCAAATTTAGGGACTAAACTTAATCTTAAGATTATAAATATTTCAAAGAAAAAAACCAAAAAATAAAATAAAACATATTTAATAATAATCTTTAAATATATTAATCGTAATAAATATAAAAAATAAATCAAACATTAACACAAAAACACTAAATAAATACTCTACTTAATACAATCCCTAATAACCATATTGAATATTTAAAAATTTTCGTATATTTTCATCATATAAATCCTCTTAAAAATTTTCATTGCGACAATGTAAACAATGGCTAAATGAGTGATTTACAACAACGTGGTTAGTGCACACGTTACTCATGAATGCGTACGTTACGTTGCGTTACTGCAGTAATCGTCACTTTTTCTCTCTTCAGTTTATGTTGTGCTTACACAGGCTAGTTTTTTTCAGTTTAAAATGAAGTTTATTAATGAAATTTGTATTTTAATGGGAAATTAGGAATATAAATGAAAATTGGTATGCATTGCACAGTGGTCAGATCGTCGTAAAATAGCAACCAAAAAATATAGTTATTTTGAAGCCATAAAAACGTATTTTATTGTACAAGGAATAACAAATGATGAAAACATTTAAGATTATATTGAGGGTCAGGCTTCTGACTTATTAAGAGGGCGTACTAAAAATCAATTGAAAAGTGTCTGATCCTTCATAATAAGAAAACATTACTTACTTAGCTGGCTTGTGACAGAACTTTCGTTCCAATCGCCGAGCTTAGTAAAGATTTCCAGGAAAGACCATTTTCGGCAATATTGTCTTCGACTTGATCTTTCCCATAGTATTCGTCGCCTTCCCCTTCTGCGTGAACAATCAGCTGGTTCACTTGTATATGCCTTCTGGGCTGGGGCATCCATTCATTCATTCTCACAACATGACCTAGCCAACGTAGTCGCTGCAGCTCACAACGTCTAACAATGTCGATGTCCAAGAATAGCTGGTACAACTCATGGTTCATTCGACAGCGATATTCACTGTCAACGTAGATCGGCCCATAAATCTTTCGGAGAATTTTTCTCTCAAACACTCCAAGAGCTGTCTCATCTGCTTGCGTAAGTACCCATATCTCAAGCGGACTGTATACAAAAATAGATCCCTGTTTAACTAAATGTTCTCTCTTTTACACAAGAGACCCACAGCAAGACGTTCACTATCTTTATTATTTAAAAACCATGTTCGCTACGTGAACATCTTGCGGGCCAGAAAATGAATATAAAATATAAACTATTCCAAGATATAAAAATTATAAAATATCAAAAATTGAATTATAAAGAAATAAAAGAACAGCTAGGTGATCGCCTCCAGGTACCACCGCCATCTCCCCAACCAGCTTCTAATATCGGCACCTCCACCTTTGTCTGCCGGCTTCATCTTCCATCCAGAACCATTGGCCATAGTCATCCTCAGCTTCTCGGTCATACGGCTTCCAAATGGCTTGTCCACATCTTTGGCCGGCAGCATCAATCTCCAGGCTGCGCCATTTGCCAACCTCATCATAGCCGCGGCTTCATTCTTCAGCTTGTTCCCGCTTCTGACCGCAGACTTCATTTTTGTGGGACAACCTTCCCCTTCTTCTTCAGCATTTTTCTTGGCACCAAATTCGTCCCTCTTCGGCAGAACGTCATCTTTATTACGTGGTGCACCATTGAATGTGACTGCTGGATCCAACTTCCCGGCCGCCTTTCCACGATTTATATCGACAATCTTCCTGGCCGGAAGATTCATAATTTTCGGCTTTCGCTTACTGTTCCAATCATTTTGTGTTGTCGGTTCCTCGCAATTGTCCGCCTGCTTCATCTTCATATCTGCATTTCTAGCCGTAATTTTCCTCGTCGGAACATTAATAACCAACGGCTCACAGCCCCAATCATATGTTGCTGTCGGGTAACAGTCATTGTCCGTCGGCTTTACCTTCATATCGGCAAAACAATTATCCACTGGCGGCTTCTTCTTCTTAGTATATATTCCCTCTTTCCTTTGCTTTTTCATCGGATTCATCGTCACATCCGAATCCTGTTCCATAACAGGTATCTCCGCATCAGCCACTCCATCGTTCTTTTCCATGGCCAACTCGTCTGGAGCTATTTCTTGCCGCTGCTTATTGGTATTGGCAACCATTCGTCTGGGCAACTGGTCACGTTCTGCCTCTGCTAATCGACGGTTCTTCTCCGAAAGATCCAGTTCATTCAACAGATTCCTTTTCTCTTCTTCCCAGGATTTTTCTGCTGCCTGGGCCTTCTCTGCAGCCGCTACCAATTCACCTTCAAGCTTACGTACTTGATAGTAACATTTGATGTATGTATCACTTGCCTCTCTATAACTTGCATGCGCCCTTTCTTTAAGGCAACCATTGCCGTCTTCTGATCTTTTTAGAGCAACTTCTAGCTCTTTATTCCTTGCGCGCAACTCCGCCACGTCACGGGTTTTCACCTCCAATGCTCTTTGAAGGTTGACCATTTGTTCTTGGACTGGCCAAGAGACCCACAGCAAGACGTTCACTATCTTTATTATTTAAAAACCATGTTCGCTACGTGAACAAATGGTGAAAACATTTAAGAATATATTGAGGGCCAGGTGTCTGACCTATGAAGAGGTCGTACTACAAATCAATTCGAAAACGTCTGATCTTTCCTAATACAAAAACATTTTGTGGGGAAATCTATTTTTATTCAATAAACAGGGTGAGATAAAAACTGTAACATTGAGAATTTGATGATGGCAACCCTTTTTTTATTTGGAACTCATCTATCAAATTTAAATAAAATGAAAAATAAATTCCACACATTTTTATGTATATCGATTGGCATATTTTCAATAAGTTAAATAAAATATATTTTCTAAAACTGAACATGGCTCTCAAGATTTAACCATGGTTGTTAAATCTTATATTTATAAGTTTCAGAGGCAAGGACTTACAAATTTGTATAAATTTAAATGATTTAACAATTTTTGCCACTGAACACATGATATGCGTACATTTCGAAGGAAGATATTTTCATTAAAAATATGAATACATTTGAAATATGAATACCGTCAAAGGCAATTTTATGAAAAAAAAAATGGAAACATATGACTGCATGAGACTACCTTGTATAATTATGCATTATTATACAAGTCATGTCAAACAATTTGAAATTGATAGATGAGTACCAAATTAAAAAGGGTTGCCATTATTAATTTCTCAAATGAGACTACCTTCTGTAATTATGCCATGATATAAATAGTTGGCAACCGATAAAATAAACTTCTGGAATGCGTAATTTTTGGATTTGTAATAATAAACCAAGAATTTATGAGGAAAATTTAAAGTCGACTTTGCAATTTCCTCAAAGATCAAAAGTCGACTTCAGTACAAAAAGTCGTTTATTCGATTAGTCAAATGTAATTATGTCATGATATAAATAGTTGGCAACAGATAAAATAAAGTTGGAGAAAGCGTAATTTTTGGACTTTGTGATAAGAAGAAGAATTTATGAAGAAAATCGAAAGTCGACTTTGCCATTTCCTCAAAGATCAAAAGTCGACTTCGAGTTTTAGACTTTTCAATACAAAAAGTCGATTATTCGAAAGTCGATTTACTTATCCCTAACATCAAGGTATATTTAATAAGGTTGCCTCATCGGCCCAGCTGTTGGAGCAAATAAATGTCAAAAATGTTGTTGTAATGTTGGACCAAAAAATTAAAAAAAAATTATAAATTCGAAGAGCTTTATTGGCAATACTTTTATTAACATATTCTACAAGAATTTGTGTAAAAAAAATCTTGTCAATCTGTTTGTTTTGGCAAAATATTTTTCACATATCAAAATACAACAACCGTTTGTTTGTTATAGAATTTCACCGATGCGGCTACCTTGTATATCTACCTTGCTAACATTAATCCATGAAACAATAATGAGGTGATGTATCAAAAAAAAACCCCTTTGTTTTTGTCTCGATTATCTGTCAAAATTTTCCTTATACATTTTCACATGGTTGGCAACAAGTAGAAATTACGCACTTTGACAGTTAATCGAGACATCAGCTGCGCTAAATGGACTACCTATTCATTGTGCCATGCATTGATCCTTCAAATTTTCGATACGATTTTACACGCACCATTTGTCACTTTGTTTGCAACAGATCGAAAAATTCAACAAAGACTCCATAAAATATGAGATAGGTCTTGTTGAGCGGTGTTTTCACCACAAAAGGCAGTGAAAGGTCCTGTTGTATGCTTTAGAATGGCAAAGAAAGTTAGAAGAGCACATCATGAGATGTTGCATCCCTAAGCTTCTAGTAATTCTATGTTCGGACTTCTTCTTCAATCTTATATTACATTTACATTGTACTGGATTTAGTAA